CTATGAGTCGGAACTGACTCCACAGCACATAACAACAACAATAACAACAAGTAGACCTTAGTGATCATCTAACCAAGTCCATTACTCACAGTTTAAAAGACTAGAAAGAAGAAATTCTTTACCAAACTCCAAGTAAATCCACCTTATTTCAGTTCTGTAAACTTTTTTTTGCTTTTGCTTTTCTGTATCATGTTTTATACTATATATCAAATGCCTCACCCTTCTGTCTCTGCTTTTTCTCTCCTCTACCCTCTTCCACTTAAGAATTTATATCTCCTTTACTTAAAATTTATATGGTTCAAACTCCCACTAGGAAACCTGAAACTTATCTGCTAAGCAACCTGGTGTTCTGTCATCTGAATTGGGTTGGTCTGAGGATACCAAAGAAATTCTTTAATACTAACAATGAGGTGACACAGATTTCCCCTCCCTCAACCTCCTTTTGAGGTCCCTGAGGTCCCTGCGTTCCCCAATGGGCTACGCTGATTACCAGACTACAGACCTGTGAGATGCGGCTGCCAAGACCCTAGCTTCCGCCCAGCGCCTTTGCCACTTCTCCCCAAGTCTACAACCACTCTCACACAGTCCTGGCTTGATCCTAAAGAAGTCCAGACTTCTCTTTGGGCGCTGACAGAGGTCCACTTTGCTGCAATACGGTTAGGGGCAGGGAGTTCTCTTTTGAAGTTCTCCCTGTAAGAAATGAGTTGACAGTATCTCAAAGGAACACAAGATTGAAACTTTTGTAACAGGATATCACATTTCTCTCTTCTGCCTAACTAGGAAATCAGAGTGATTTGTATCTTGTTTAGGTCATCCTCCTTCTTCAGAAAAATGCGTCATCTGCCCTCAAACTTCACTCCACAACTACCCACAGACTGTCAAGCATTCGATCAGTTCACATGCTGCCTGGGCCCAATAAACAAATTCAGCCAACACACAAACTCCAACTGTACCCATCTGTAATTCTGATTTTAGCATTTCCCCCTTCCTCCCCTCCTATATATTTTTAGAAAGTAAGTTTCCTTCTCTTCTTCCCTTTCTCTAAGACTGCATGTTTTATGTTTGTATAGAACAAAGCAGCAAGTCAGCAAGCATAGTCAAAAGAAAAAACAGTCCTGAGATCTTTTCTAACAATTTGACAATGGTATCAAATACACAAGTTGAATGAACATAAAACAATACAAAACAGAATTTCTTCCCTGTAGCTTCCCCGGTGACCTGTGACGACACAGTCTTGGCCACGCCTACTTAAGACAATTACAAAAGGCAAAGCAGCGTGACTCGTCCTTAGTTCTCCAGTCAGAGACGGAGTCATTCGTTGGAACTCCAGTCAGCAAAGGTATTATCCTTATCATATGTTTCTCTTTTTAAGTATTTATTGTTTTTCTCCTTGGCTGTTATCTCTCAAGCTGCCTTCTCTGAAGCAATGTTTTCTTTCTTTCTTTCTTGTCTCTCCCTAGTCTGGTGTGTGAGCTAGAATCACAGTCAGATCACAGAAAATGTCTCTTCAGATGATGGAGAGCTAAGGGCAGAGGAATTGGCTTCTAATGAGTGCATCAGGGAACACGTGGAGAAATCCCTCCAGAGGAAATTTCTCTACCAAAAATTATTAGGAAAAGAATTAGACATTTCCAGATGTGTTTCTCTTATATCTGTGTAAAGCAAATACCACTCTCTCATTTATGGTGTTTTTTTTAAACTAGCCAAGTTTTCATTGAATGCTTACTGTGGACGGTACATACTGGCCATATAAAGGATATCAAGATGAATAAAACATACTAAAAATTTTACAATCCAGTCAGGGAGACAGGTATAGATAAAGACAGTTCAGGGGAATGAATACAAATACAGAAAATGCTGAATGTGGTCTAAGTCATTCAATCAAGTTTCCCAAAAAGCACAGATCAGAATTGGCTCCCTTCTAGGCATCTGATTCAGAAACTAGATGAACTGACAGCCACTAGTGTTTTCTGTTGCAGAACATCAACATGGCCAAAGTTCCTGACCTGTTTGAAGACCTAAAGAACTGCTACAGGTAAGAAATAGATTCTCTCTCTTGTGATAGAATGATCAAGGCTCATTGGAATCCAGCTAGGACTTAACAATGACCAGCAAGGTGTTACAACTAGGAATTGTTGTTGTTGTTTGGTGCCATTGAGTCAGTACCGACTCATAACGACCCTATGCACAACAGAACGAAACACTGCCCGGTACTGGGCCAACCTCACAATCGTTGCTACGTTTGAACCCATTGCTGCTGCCACTGTGCCAATCCATCTTCTTGGAGGTCTTCCTCTTTTTCTCTGACTCTCCACTTTACCAAACATAATATCTTTTTCCAGGGACTGGTCCCTCCTGGTACTATGTCCAAAGTATGAGAGACAAAGTCTGGCCATCCTGGCTTCTAAGGAGCATTCCAACTGCACTTCTTCCAACACAGATTGGAAGTGGCTGTGGCTATATACACTAATTCAAAAGTCCAGACAGATTCAGTTGCAGACACATGAAAGCCAAGCCTCTATCATGTTAGAGGGAGATTGCATTGAAAGGGAGAAAGCGATCATTTTTGAAAGATTATCTTTTGGGTCTACTGAGTCCTAGGTGAATTTCAGCATGTACTTAATCACAGTTTCGGTTGAGTACACACACTCTGATACAGTAATGGGTTTTCATGGACTGAGAAAGAAACCATTCTCAGGGAAACTTCTTAACCCCATCAGGAACAGGAGTTGGCTACTCAACAATTTAGGCACGTCAAACCTCATTCAAACATAGGAGAAAGATGGGTAAATACAAATTTTAAATTATAGAACCTTTTAAACAACATGGTATTTAGACTACCTGGTAGCATAATGGTTATGAATCGGGCAACAGTTCAAAACTACCAGCAGGAGAAAGATGAGGTTTTCTGCTCCCATGAAGATTTACAGCCTCAGAAACTTTCAGAAAACTAGGAAATGCAGAGTGGCTGTGAGTTAGAACCGACTCCACGGCACATAACAACAACATAATATACAAGTATATTGGAGTCCTGGTGTGGCGCTGTAGGATCAGCACAGGACTGCAAGGGTGGTTTGAACCACAAGGTCAGAGGTTCAAGCTCACCAGCTGCTCCTCAGAAACCCTATGTACAGAGTTGCTATGAGTTGGGAATGACTCTATGGCACTTAACAACAATAATATACAAAAAATACAAACTAGACTAACTGGATATTTTACCAAGTATAAATTATTAAATCTGTTCTATTGAAAACATGAAAGCAATTGTAAAATATAATCTATTTGGTTAAAAATGATATAGAGAGGTATAACTAAGTATTTTTTTTTCCTTGAGGAGCTTACTATTTTCCCTCAAAGTTCAATAAAACTCATTATTAGCCAAACCCAGGTTTTATGGATAAAGCACAGATAAAGTCCAAGCCCAATCCTGATTATTACTAATTACAAATTAGTAAGGTGTGAATTACTGTATGTATGTGTGTGTGGAGAAGTCCTTTAATTTTCAAAGATGATTGTAATGTCCATGTATGTATGTTAGCCAAAGCTAATGTGGTCATTAAAATATGTTGCCCGGTGACCATTGTGAAATAACAAACAAAATTACATTCTCATCTTGGTTTGACAGTGAAAATGAAGAATACAGTTCCAACAATGATGACTTCTCTGTGAGTCAGGTAAGAAATGACTGTAATTCTTAGAAGACTGCTTTTCCTGCTCAGTAGCTTCTAATCAAGAAAGAATAATAATGGCTTAAGCCCAGGATATACTTGTTTTACCATCGCTAGAGGTCCAGAGGAGTCCTGGTGTATTGCTGTGGGATAATGCCCTGGACTGCAAGGTTGGTTTGAACCGCAAGGTTGGCGGTTCAAGCTTACCAGCTGCTCCTCAGTAACCTTATATAGGGTTGATCTGAGTCAGAACCAACTCAATAGCACTTAACAACAAAAACAGAGGTCCAGAGACATGCATTTCTTCATTATAAGTGAAACCAGATGCCTTTCTTAATAGTGGATGGCATTCCTCATGCTTACCAGCTTTGCCCAAAACAGGAACTCTCTTTAAACCACAAGGACCAGACTCCTGGGTCAGGCTTCATTAGAACATTAGCCATTCAATCCTGAAACAGCCCCTTCAGGTTGCTTCACCAGAAGCTAAAGGGGCATACCGTGAGCCGAACTAGAGATAGCCCACCAAACATAATAGCCAATGAAGATGAGGTATTGGAAGTAGGTCAGCTGAAAGTCAGAAATCTGCAGTCACTCACCTGGAGTACACAATAGGTAGTGTTTAAGAACTGATGTGTGTGTGGCTGGTACTAACTTGAAAGCTATTCTCAGGCACATTTCTAAAGCAGAGGTCAACCTCCTGAGGAGGAACTAATGTGAGGACTACTACTCACTATTTCATTACAAAATAGCAGTTGTGAATTTTTGCAGGTGATGATAAATTCTTCCCCTAAGATCACATCCTTCTAAGAAAATCATAAAAGAAACAAACAATGGGAGGAAAGGAGAGAAGACAGAAAAGAAAGGAGGAAGGGAGGGAGGAAAAGATGAATTATCCAAGACCAAAATGGAGACCTTTCTGTCTCACTAAGTCTGCTGAAAAGAGCATCAACCCAAAAAAGCTATTCCATGGCCATAGCAGCCTCTCAGTTTCCATTTTCCTTCTTCACAGAAATCCTTCTATGATGTCAGCTATGGCCCACTTCATGAGGTCTGCATGGATGAATTCAAGTCACTGAGTACCTCTGAAATCTCTAAGATACCCAAGCTTACCTGCAAGGAGAGTGTGGCAGTGGTGACAACCAAAGGGAAGATTCTGAAGAAGAGGCGACTGAATTTAAATCAAACCTTCACTGATGAAGACCTGCAGTCTATTGTCAATGATCCAGAAGAAGGTGAGAGGTCAAGCGTACTAATGTCCTTGTTTTCCATTTTTAAATAAATGGGGACAAAAGAACATAGGGGAAAGAAAGTTAAAGTCAGAGTAGCAGGAGGGCAATCAGGCATTCATCTAACAAGCAAAGAAAGTTCTTTTTTTTTTTTTTTTTTATTGTGGTTTGAAGTTGACACAAGTCAGTTTTCCATTTAACTCTTTAGACACACCTTAGTTGACATCCCTTCAGTACTTTTTCCACTTACTTGCTGAGTTCCTTATTTTCATTCATCTTTCTTTCCTGTTCTTTTCTGCCTTCTGGGCTTTGTTACTGAGTAAATGCTGCCCTTTAGCTCTTGTACTGTATGGCTGATGCTTCTGTTCCTCACATATTATTGGTCACTTTATAGGCCTATTGTTTGGCTGAAAGGTGATACCCAGAGGTAGGTTCAGGTTCAGGTCTCAAGGGTTTCTATGCACCCTATACAGTTTCAGGGATTTCACCAATCTGATGTTTTTATTCATTTTGAGTTTTGTTCCACATTTTTATCCTACTCTGCCCAGGAACTTCTATTGCGATCCTAATAGAGATCTCTGGTCTCTGTGCACCTCCCAGTGTCTTCCTTTGCATTGCTCATAGTGTGCTGACTGCCCCTTTATTGTATATTGCCTTTCTCTTAATATAAATTAAGACGTATCTACTCCCTACATAGTCACTCTCCCTCCCATCCCTGATAACCACCAAGGAATTTTCTTTCTATGTATAAAGCTTTCCTTGCCTTTTTATAATAGTGTTCTCATACAGTATTTATCCTCTTGTGAACGACTTTTTTCATTCAGCATAGTATCTTCCAGGTTCATCATGCTTTGAAATGTTCTGTACCATTATTTTTTTAACCCTGCATAGTTTTACATTGTGCATATCTACCAGAGTTTGCTTATCCATTCATTCATTAATGGGCACTTAGGTTGTTTCCATCTTTTTGCTATTGTGAATAATTCTATGGTAAACGTGGATGTGTATATATTTATACTTTTATTTCTTGATGATATATACCAAGTTGTTGTAATGTGCCAGCCATGGAGTTACTTCCAACTCATAGCCCCCCTGT